CCGCGTGTCCGCCCACACACGCCCACACTTCGTCACCATCCAGCACACGCGGCGCCACCCGACGAGGCACCGCAGGAGCCCACCAAGCTCCAGGTGCTGCGTGCGGCGCAACACCGCCACCGCGGGGCACGCCAGTGGGAGGAGCTCCGCCCCGCCCCTGCCCCTCACTGCCCCGGGGGTGGGGCCTCACCCGCAGCCGGCGCGTCCCGGGGTGGGGTCTCGGGGTGAGTCCCGGGTGAGGCCCGCCCCCCCCCCCGTCCCGGGGCTACTGTGATCCGCACACTAGCAGCACCGAATGGGTACCGAAAAAATCTTTTTTGCGGGCGCTTCAGCTGGATAGGCGAGCGCGCCCTCGGCGACTCGCAGCTGCACGGCGAGCGCGCCCCCGGCGACTCGCAGCTGGCAAGGCGAGCGCGCCCCCGGCGAGTCAAGCTCACGCAATGTCAAGCCTCACGCACACCCTGCACCTTGGCCTCCTTCTGTACTCTCTCGTCTGGCTCCGCCACTTCTGGATCGTGGCGAAGCGGTGGCGTCTGTGGCAAGATACCCGCCGAGCGCTCTCCGAGACCTTCGCTTGGGAGACTCAGGCAGTCTTTTTACGGCGGCGCAAGCGAGAGCGGATTGGAATCGCCGTCGAGTTCTGCCAGCTAGTCGCGATGACCATCTCGGAGGACAGTATCGCCCGGTGCGTCAGGATGCTAGCCGTATTTGGGAGTGACGTCGAGCCAGTGGTGGTTGGCCTGTTCCGATCTCTGCAGCAGTCGCTGCAGTCGCACGAGTGGTTTCTAGGTTGGTGGTGCGCTCTGGTCGCAGTCTACATCGCCGCGGGCTGCCTCGCCGCACTCCGTGCCTTGAAGATTCGGCTGCCGCGCCTCCTCCGAAGGCACACCTCTGAGCACTCTGGCACGATCCTGCTGGAGTGGGGTCTTATCCCGGTCCTCGAGGCGTGCTTTCAAATGCTAGCGTGCGACAGCCAAAGGCTACAGGACGACGAAGAGATCGTGTGCTTCAGTGGCAAACACGCTTTCCTCTACCTGCCGATCTCGCTGTGCCTGCTCGTCACGTTGATACCCCTCGGGCTCCGCCACGCGGCTGCCAAGGGGGACCAGTCGCCGGAGCTCTACTATCTGCCGAGGTTCGAGGTGGTCGACTGTTTTGCGCGCATCGCCGTCTCGGCGTTGTACGCGCTGCTGGCCCAGCCGCGCCCACGGGCCTTCCTCGTCCTCACGATAGCGGTCATCGTTTCGCTGCTGGCCGCATGCTACTACCTCCAGCCCTGCCTCGGCAAGGCGCGGAACTACGAGTTCAACCACGCGCGCACGGCATGCTACGCTGGCGTGTGCTGGGCCGCACTCGTCGCCTTGCTCCAAGAAGGCAACCGGCCCGGCGTCTTTGAGGCGGGGCTGCTTGCGCTGTGCGTTGGGCTGCCCGCCGTCATGTGCGTGGGGTGGCGGCTGAGCCAGCGCCGAGGGGCGAGGATGCCAGCCTCGCACTGGGCCACCAGCGCCAGCCGCGGCGGCAGCGCAGTGGGCCCCCCGCAGCGGAGCGGCCAGCGCGGGAGCCACGGGGGCGTGAGAG